TTCCTCAGTTTGGTTGAGATTGATGATCTGAGGATAGAACTGAGGTCTTGTGGATGCTAGGCAAGGACTCTGCCACCAAGCTACATTCCTAGCTGGCTTGTCTCTTTAGCACAGATGTCTCAGTTACTGTAATATGGATAGGCTGAGAGTTTTTTAAGGTACAGTTATCTTTTAACAATTTCTTCTTAGCTTCAGTGTTCTCCCCTTTCATATTTTACTAAAAGCACTCAGGAGGAACCAAGTTGCTCCTTTTGAACACTTTAAATACAGATAAATTTCTGATTCTATTACTCTCAAGTTCTAACTTCCACACAAAATGCTAGAATACAGATCTGCTTGGTTCAAGATCACTATGTATCGCTGATTGGTTTTTCTTGATGTTCTAATAGCATGTTCCTCCTTCCTAACTAAGGGAGTCCTCACCAGAATAGCCTCTATCTGTCACTCAGTTTCAACGCTACTTGCATGTGTTTAAGTGTTTTTTTGTTTTTTTTTTTTTTTTTTTTTTTACTGCACTGCCACAGTACCACAAAACACTACAGTCTGCGCTGGCAAAATGGCTCAGAAGGTAAAGGTGCTTGTGAGCAGGAACTGAGTTTGATCCCAGGGACCCACATGGTCAAAGGAGAGCATGGACTGCTACTTCTGCATGCATACCACACTTGCACACACATTATACACCACAAATAATAACACAAAACAGCATAAACCAAGTTGCTTTAAAAGCTCCCTTTGAAAGAAACAAAATTTTAGGTGAGCATAGTATTGGGTTTTATTACGGCATTTTCATATCTATAGATCATTGTACTTCTCATTAGCTTACCACTTTTAGGTAAACTTTAGGGCTGCGGGTTTTGCTCAGTGGTAGGAGTCCTTGCCTAGCATATGAATAGCTAGTTTTTATCTCCAGCAGTGGACAGATCATATACAGCAATTTATTTTCTCACACAAGAATAACAGCATGGGAGCTAGTGAGATGGCTCAGAGGGCAGAGCTCTTGCCCTGCAAACACGAGGACCAGAATTGGCTTCTCAGGACCCGTCCGAGAGCCTGGCGGCCATGGAGGCTGCCTGTAGTCCCACTGTCTGGGAAGTAAGACGGGGATCCTCAGGCCATTTGGGGAGTTAGGTTACTTGAATCCATGAACTTTGGGTTCAGCAAGAGACCCTGCTTCAGTAAATAAAATGCAAAGTGATTGGGGAAACCCAACATTACCGTCTGGAGTCCACATGCCGCATGCAAATGTGGAAACACCAACATGCACATGCACATACATGAAAACAAAATAACAGCATTTTTGGCTTCTGGAGTAGACTCTTCCTGGCATGCAGTCACTTTCATATGACAAAGCCTGAAAATGAGGTTGTTTTTTTTCCCTCTTCTGATAAAAATTGCAGCGTTGTGGGATGAGGTTTCTACTCATTGTCCTAGACTATCTAAATGAAATTCTAAAGACCCTATCTGAACAATCATGCTGAAGTTTAGATTTAACATGAATTTGAGAGGGTCATAGATTCTTTTGGTTTCCCAGACAGGTAATCATATTTGTAGATAATGATGGTATTTTTTTTTCTATTTTAGTTGTTTCCTTACATAAATTAGTATGATGTCCAGCACACTAGTGAAAGTAGTAAAAGCATATTTTCTTTAGAATTATAATGAGGTATGCTTTCTATTATACTGATTTGCTTATTAGGATAGAGGGTTTTTTTAATATCTGGATTTTGCATAATGGTTTTATAGTATTTCTTTATTTGTGAGGCAAAATTCCTCTTGGATTCATTCATTGCTTTCCCTGTATCCTCTGAGATGACCATAGTCATTTGCTGGTAGCACTCAAGTACCTAGGATTTCATTGTTCCATAATAATAAATACTGGAATGATTAAAAGGACTCTAAAGGCAGTCATTTATTAATAATTATATATTAGTTGTCTGATGTTAACTCTAAATTCTTAGATATATTCAACTTAGACATTAAGGTTCATTTTTGTTTTGTGTGATTGCTGAGGATCAAACAAACCCAGCTGAGGCAAGCACTCTGCCACTGAGCTACACTCGTGAGCCCAATGGATCCTTTTACTACTTAATATTGATTATACTTACTCACATAATGATATTGTCGTAGATATTCCTAACATTGGCGTATAATTTTTCCTTCTATGTAAGAAGAAATGGAGTAGGGATAAGAAGAGTGCCTGTTTTGCAGAGCACTAGACTGTGGTTTCAATCCTCAGCACCACCAAAACAGCCAGATTTTAAATGAATTGACTGGTTTTTAGCTGTAGATTAGATCAGTGTCAGAGACTGCAGTGAACGTGCTTCTCTCCTTTCCTAAATTCTACACCTGTTCAGTTATCTTCATCTAGAATAATTGATACTGTTTTAGGTACCCGTTTTCTATTACCTTAAACTGTTTAGTATCTTTTATGTTAATAGGACACCTAAGATTTACAATATCATTTAAAACTTTTGAGTATATTTTTCTAGGCATGGTTTCATTTTCACATATGAAACAAATTTATTTTTTTTCTTGTATTCCTGATGTTTCCTGGTTGTATAATTAATCAATTTACTTTGGGTCTGCCTTGTATTCTGCAGTGATTTCTTGTATTTAAATTGAGTTAATCTTCGATCAGTATTCTTTTGGAGAGTATTTGTCTCAAACTACAGCATGTTGCCTCACACTGTAACCTTAGGGATTGGGAAGCCAAGGCAGGAGGGTCACAGATTTAAGGGTAGCCTCAGCCTGGGATACTTTGTGAGATACTTAAAAAGACAAAACTAAAAAATAAGACAAGACAGATGTACCCAGAGGAGGACCTGGGGTCCGGTAAATAATTTGGGAGGGAAAAAGTTTGTCTTGAAATATTTAAATTTTCCTATATAGTTTTTATTCCATTGACTGACAGGTATTTATATGGCTATATATTTTAATTTTCTTTTTGTATCCTTGGTTAAAAAAACATTTGGGGGTGGGTGCTAGGATTCAAACTGAGGGCTTTACACATGCTAACCACTGACCTATAACCCAGGTGTAGATGTGTCTTTTATATATACTTTAGTTACGAGTTTTAAAACTCTGATTACTTGAAAAATCCTGATTAACAATTCTTTTAGACCATTATGTATAATGCAATTAGTAACACAGTTGGATTTTTAGCAACTTTTTTCTTCTGTATTTGTTGCATGTACCTTTTCTGTAATGATATTTTCACTGAAATTTTACCCAATGCTTGAAATTTATGTACTCCATTTACTTTTTAGTTGCTATTCTAAAACATTAAATCCAGTTTTAAAATAAAATGTGTTACTATTGTTTCTTTCTGAATAGACTAGAATTGATATTACAGAGGATTTGCTAATATATTTGCTTAAGAGACATTAAATCATACAAAGTAGGGTTTAGCTGAAAGGAGTGCTGTTCCCCAACACCCCAAAGATAGTAGTGTGCTACTCAGGCCTATTAGAGGTGATCCTAATTCATGGTGCTAGGATGCAAAATGTCTGTTCACTAGGACTGACCAACCATTAGTCCAGTCCCCAAAGAAACATGCCTCTAACATGCAGCTCAAGGGGGCAGAGCACAGTCACAATGGATGTTAAGTTCTGGCCTGCCATAAAGTTCCCAGTTTTTTTTCTTTTAAAAACAAACAAACAAACAAAAAACTCCAAAACAAAACTGAATTCTGACAGCTGGGCAACATGACCCTGGGTCACATCTATTTGGCAAGGACAACATTGGTGTACTTTAATCCTGGTAATACTTTTGCTGTGTAAATCTTCCATCTGTCCAAGTACCTAGACTTGTAGTTTCCAGTGCCTGTTTAAATTGTTCAAAGTTTAATCGGGCTGGGACCTAAATGCATAACTCTAAGGTGTATATAATTTAGTAAAATCTTATATTCTAGTTCAACTCTTATTTGGGTATTAGCCCCAATTGACTACGTGCTTTAGTAAAGAGCTTTTCCTTGAGCTCTACATGTGCAGTGATTTTTCGCTGAGAAATCATATTAGCATATTGTTTCTATAGCAACACAAGGCCCTGATTGTGCAAATTCATTGCAGAGAGGGTATGTGGGTCTCTTGACAGACTACCATTGCAACCTGTGATGATAGATTAGGGCCGTAAAATCTTTTAAGTTCACCAGAAGGTGATTATAGCTTTTCTTTGACTCGCATTGACCAACAGATATCAGCAGAATTCAGTCCTGAAAGTTGAAGAGGCTTCTAATAACATTACAGTTCTCAGCCACTCAACTGTTGCGTTGTTAAACTGGCTCTTCATGCATGTCATCAGTATCCAGGAGGGTAGAATCTGAGTGACAGGGCATTTTTCCTGTGATTTGAGATGATAAAAACCAGAATTTAATCTTACTTTTTGCTTAGGACATTCAATAGAACCGGGGATTTAGGAAAGCAGTTGCTGGGAAAGATGCAGATTAGGACGAGTCCAAGACCCACTCAGTAACTACTTCAGGATTCCCAGTCAGAAACCTTGAATTATTTATTCCCTTTGGCTCCTGAGCCTGGTGGAATGGGCTGAGGTAGGATCAATCTGTTGAAGCAACCTACCAAAAACAATTCCCACACTTTGAGAGGTCCAGATAATTACAGAAGCGAGACTCTTTTGTTTCCTACCGAATTAGGGTGCTCTAGAAAGCAAAGGTTCTAAGAATGCAGTGGAGGCAGGCAAAAAAGTTTCTGCTGAGCTTCCTGTGGGCTGAGTATCCACAAGAAACCTTGTGGTTAAAGGACTTACTGGTCCTGGACACCACCGATTACTTCCTGTCCCACCCGTTGCCTGGCTCACAGCCTGGATTCTAATTCTGTCTTGTCCTCGAGAACACCGTTGGCCTTCAGCTCCTGCGGTGAAGCCATTACAGCGCCTGTGCCCGCAAGCTGAAATCAGACACCTGAGTTCGACCAACGTGGACTCTCAGTCCTGGCTCTGTAGCAAACGGAGCGCGAGCGGAAGTGACGTCACTGCCCGCGACCGTCTCTTCCGGCTCTTCTCCGCACTGAAGAGTTGCGGAGTTATCTGGCCTTTGTGGATTCTGCGGTATAAGGACTACTTGGAGGTTGCGGTGGGAGATAAAGAACGAGAGTGCTGAGCTCTGCTCCACTTGCCACGGCGCTTCCGGGCGCGACCAAGTCTGAGTCCTCTCTGGCTGTCAGTCACCAGGGTGGGAAAGTGCCCAGAGGGCGGGTCCTGGCGATGGCTGCATCTACGATGCTCCTGCTCCACAAAAGCTGCCAAAGCAACTTCTATGGAAAAAGCTGTTTTATTTTTCTCCTCAGAAAGAAATGAATTTTTGCCGGAGTAGTGGTTGGATTGACCAGCGTCATAAACCTTGCGATTTCAGCGCCTCTGGTGAGCACTTAGTGAAAGGTGGCGTTTGGAAAAGGCAGAATTCCTTTTTTAAAAAACTTAGAAACCAATGTCTGGGATGAAAACTTAATTCATATTGTTAGATTGTATTTTATTTAGTGTGTGCGTGTTTTATTTTGATCGTTAGTTCCAGATACATATTTCTTAATTATTTAGAATGTACATCTTTCTTGAGAGTGTATAATATAAACGTTGGTAGATCTCAAGTCCATTCATAGAAACCTAGAGGGCAGGCCTTTACTCACATCACACAGGTAGCAAAAGTAATGCTATGAGTTCTTGGCTAGCCTGGTGTACAAAAGCAGTTCCAGGCCAACCAGTTGCTACATGGTGAAATACTGTATTAAAAAACAAACAAGTAAAAACCCAAGAAACAGTTATAGTGAGCTGTTTTCCACATCTAAAGTTCCTAGGCTTGTGTTTGTTTCCTCATCCCTTTTCTCTCCCTGTGCTAGTGATCAAATCCAGGGCCTTGTGCATGCTACACATATTTTTCTCTTAGTTTTTAGGCCTGTTCATCACTAAACTGCTTGGAGTTCACAGAAGAAATGTGAAAAGCTAGATTATTAAAAATCATAGAATTAACTATTAAGATTGATAAGTTAGTGTTCTCTCCCCAACAATCCCCTTCATTTCTCTTTTTAAAAAATCTTAGATGTACGTATGCTGTATTTGATGGTCTAGTATCTGTTGTGGTACAGTTACTTCATGGAGCAGTCTGTGTCTACTCTTTGCCCAGCAGATAAATATATTGTATGGTGAATTGTTTGCTAAGATGTAAACTGAAATAGTGGGCGACGTGGTGGCATATAGCAGTAATCTCAGCAGCAGGAGAATAGGAACATGATTTTCTTTCTTTCTTTCTTTCTTTCTTTCTTTCTTTCTTTCTTTCTTTCTTTCTTTTTTTTTTAAGATTTATATGTTTTATATATTTGAGTACACTGCAGCTGTCTTCAGACACACCAGAAGAGGGCATAAGATCTCATTATAGACGGTTATGAGCCACCATGTGGTTGCTGGGAATTGAACTCAGGACCTCTGGAAGAGCAACCAGTGTTCTTAACCACTGAGCCATTTCTCCAGCCCAAGAACATGATTTCTATGCCAGGATAGTTACATAGTTTCAGGCCAGTCCAGTCTGCATAGTTGTAACCCTATCTCTGAATAATAATAGATAAAACACTTGACTGTTAAATACTTGGTAATGCATCACCTAGATTAGGACATTGTCTTACTGAAAGCAAAATATTGTTAGATTCAATCAAGAAAATCAAAGAATAGAGTTATTTGGGTATGCAACTCAGTTGGTAGAGTGTTTTTCTATTGTGCACAGAATGTACAAGGCTCTGGGTTCAGTCTACAGACTGGAAAAAAAAAATCACACAGCAAAGATGAAATCATTAACTCAAGGCAAATGCCCTACAGCTAAGCTACGGGCCAACCTAGTTAATGATTTCAAAATGACCCCATTAAGAGCTTGAAATACAATGTACTGTAATAGATTATGAGTTTATATCAGTCTTTACATTTTCATTTATGTTTTTTTGAAATAGATTTTTACTGTGTAGTCCTAGATGTCCTGGAATCCACTATGTAACTCATGCTTTCTCTTGCTCCTGCCTCATGACTCCTGAGATTTATATATTTCTATATGTCTGTATTTTAATGTAAGTAATATAAAGTGAGCATGTGATAAATTTTTGTCATGTGTAAGGAAATAATAAAATGAAGTTCTATATTTTTAATCTAATTCAAAATCCAAAATTTATATAATTGATTTTCATGTATCAGATTCATAGATAGTACCTTGCAGTATATTACTGTACTGTATACTTCAGTGTTATGGTTCCATAATCAAAGCCCCCATGTACAAAATTGAATATTGCTACTCATTCAACAACTGGTATGTAGTTTTTACTTATATATTGGCTAATGTATTCCTTTTACTTAGTTGCCTGTTTCTTTTTATTTATTATTATTGTATGATGTGTGTGTGTGTGCGCGTGTGTGTATACAGAGGTCAGAGTACAACTTGGTAGAGTTGGTTTTCTCCTTCCATCTTGATGTGGATTCCGGGAATTGAACTCATGTAATAAGGCTTGTGTGGCAAGCACTGTACTCATTGAGTGTCTCAGCAGCCCCTCTGTGCCTGTTTTAACAGCTTGTTATCTGTAGTGTGCCTCAGTCATTCAGCATGAACACAGTATACTCTTCCAGGCTGCCTTTGAAGTACCTCAGCAACTTTGTCATCACAGGCAGCATCTTAACCGTATATAATTTTCTCTAGGACCACAAGTATGGCATTGATAGCATCTTCTAGGATTTTCATTCCACATACTTTATTCTTACACTCTGTGTGTGTGTGTGTGTGTGTGTGTGTGTGTGTGTGTAGGCGTACCACAGCATTTATGGAAATTATGGAAATTATCTGTTAGAAACCTCTGGCTTTCCAGAGATAGAACTCAGTTTTTCAGGCTTTGTAGCAAGTACCTTTCCCGCTTGGTAAAACATCTCACTGGCCCTGACAGACTTTTGTTTGTTTGTTTGTTTGTTTTGTTTGGTTTGGTTTGGTTTGGTTTGGTTTGGTTTGGTTTGGTTTGGTTTTTTGAGACAAGGTCTCTCTGTATAACCCGGGCTGTCCGGGAACTCACTCTGTAGACCAGGCTGGCCTCGAACTCAGAAATCCACCTGCCTCTGCCTCCCAAGTGCTGGGCCTGACAGACTTTTTTAAAATTTTAATTAATTTATTTTATTTATTCACTTTTCAACCCATTCACTGCTCTCCCTCCTTGTCACCCCCTCCCACAATCCTTTCCATCCCCCCCTTCCCTTCTCCTCTGAGCAGGTGGCGGCCTCCCTGGTACTTCAAGTCTCTGCGAGGCTAGGTGCATCCTCTCCTACTTGCCTCCCAGACAAGGCAGCCTAGCTAGGAGAACATATCCTACATATAAGCAACAGCTTTTGGAATAGCCTCAGTTCTAATTGTTCGGGACCCATATGAAGACCAGGCTGCACATCTGTTACATATGTGCAGGGAGGCCTAGTTCTAGGGCGTGTATGCTCTTCAGATGGTGGTTCAGTCTCTGAGATACCCAAGGGTCCAGGTTAGTTGACTCTTGGTCTTCCTGTGTAGTTCCTATCCCCTTTGAGGCCCTGATGCTTATTAAGACAAAAAAAAATGCAATGTCACTCACTTATCCTTCTATTTTTAATTATGCTTAGGGGGGTGGGTTCAGATCAGGGGGCAACTTGGGAATGTTGGTTCTCTCCTTCCACCCCTAAGGACTCTGCAATTAAACAGCACTCCCTAGGCTTGGTAGTGAATACCTTTATCTACTGAGCCATCTTGCTGATCCTACTTTCTTATTTCTGGTGGGAATACATCCTTTATTTTAAATTTTTACTGACAAATTGCTACCGACAGCTAATCTTGTTATCACCTTGTGATAATCCTTCACTGTGGAGAGTTTATCAGCATTTCTCATGCCTTGTGGAGTATCTGTCTGAGATGCTTTTGTTGCCTTACTCTTCTGATGGAAGAAATTGCCCTTCTCAGTTTTGGGCCATACATCAAGCATCGGAGAACAGATTGTCACAAATGCAGACTCCATACCCAGCTGCCCATAATATTCCAGGTCATGAATATCCCATTATGGAAGGAAAAAGGATTGCCTCCAGCAGTGTAAATAAGACAACGTGGCTGCTAATGAAGTCTAAAGCTTAGGCAGTCTCCTAGCTAGCTTATCTAACTTAACCCAAATACAGCCCACCAGATGGCTAGCTCTGTACCTCTGTGCTCTGGTCCGGTCATTGTTCCTCTCCATATCCACTCTCTGTTCTTCTCCATGTCCATTCTCTTTTTTCTTTTCTTTTTTTTTTTTTTTTTTTTGGTTTTTCGAGACAGGGTTTCTCTGTGTAGCCCTGGCTGTCCTGGAACTCACTCTGTAGACCAGGCTAGCCTCGAACTCTCAAACTCAGAAATCCTCCTGCCTCTGCCTCCCAAGTGCTGGGATTAAAGGCGTGCGCCACCACTGCCCGGCCCTCCATGTCCATTCTCAATGACTGCTTTCTTCTCTCTGGGACATTCTGTCTGCCTGAAAGTTCCACCCCCTATTTTCTGCCCAGCTCCTGCCCCTCATATCTTCGTTATAACCAATCAGCTGCAAGAAAGCCTCTGATACATTTCCAGATTGCCTTTAGGCAGGCGTGGAATGACAAGTATTTACAAAATAGAAAACAAGGCAATGGACCATAGAAACAATACCAAAATCCTGCCAGCACATAGCTCTCTGATGGTACAGAATTCACAATTGAAAATACAGAGACACACCTTTGCACAATGTGAAGAAAGCTTACTTGAACATGCCATAAACCTGGCATGGATATTAAGGCCCGAACCATTGTTGAATCAGACCTGGGCCTCTGATGACTTATAGTTATAGGAACAGTTTAGTCCCTGGTCCCAGGTGGAGGTCTCTCAGACTCTTCTCAGGCTTTCCAAGGAGCTCCTCAGGTTTGGTGTGTGAATAGCAGTGTGAGTTTGTGTGCTGTGGGCGGATACTGCTGCACTATGGAAACGTGTTGCAGCTCAGTACGCCGCTGCTGCTTTTCATACCTTAGTCTTCACTTCCTTAATAAAGGACAAGTGTAGGGACGAGCACACTTGTTCAAACTTTACATTGTTCATAGCATTAAATGCTGTGGTCAACCAGCTGTCTCATGATCACATGTGTTTGAAACTACTGAACATTTGGTAAGAATGTTCTCCTTTGTTAACTCTAATGTCATGTTCAGTTTTGTTTGGAGACAGGACTCAGGCTGGCCTTGAATTCCCTGTGTAGCTGAGAATAACCTTGTGCTCATGGACTTCCTGTCCCTACCTCCTAAGTGCTGGGATTCCAGGTCTGTATCACCTGTATGTACCTTACTCAAGTCACCACATTCTGTGATACCCATCCCCTTTATAATAGCATCTTTGGCTT